TTGTTGTTATGCTGAAGCACAACAACTTACAGAAAAGACAACTTATGGGGGGGGGGTTGATCTTATGGTTCCAAAGCAGTAAGATTCCATTATGGGAGTTTGGAGGCGAGTGCAGGCATAAAAGCAAAGAGTAAGTTGAGAGTCCACATCTTCAGATGCAAACAAAAAGAAGGGAGATCAAACTAGAAACAGGGTGAGGTTACAGACTCTCAGATCCTACTCCTAATGAAATCTTTTCTCCATCAAGGCCGCACCTCCTAAGCCTCCGCAGACCATGCCACCAACTGAGAACCAGGTGTTCAAATACCAGACTCTATAGGAGACATCTTTCATTCAAACCTTCACACATAGACACACTCTGTTCTCCATTAAATTTAATAATAATAATAATTATAAAGGTGCCAAAGCCCACCTAACAAAACCCAATACTGAATATGAGAAGCCTTCTTTTGAGCTATTGTTCAGGGCTGTCCAGGGGACTCCAAAAGCCTATTGTTGCTGCCTTTTGTGGCTCCCAGAGGTGGAAGGTAAATCTCTATTACTGAAGACAGTAAGCACTTCAGAAATAAGTCCCAGAAACCCCTTATCTGGAACTGACCTGAATGCTAGTCCCTGAAGACTAGCTTTCATAGTACCAGAAGACACGATGCAAGCTTCCAAAGGAGGAAGGCAACCAACAGTCCTACTCAGCTATGATGCCTATGAACCACATCAATAACCATCATGGAAAGATAACCCTAAGGATTCAGTAGTGGCATGCATACCTTGATTGTAGACAACAGCTAATCAGATCTAAAGCCCTCTCAGCATGCAGGAAACAATGTCTGGTGCCAGAAACCTAGCTAGTTACTCGGTACTAATGAAGTCGTGGTTATTGGAGAAGAATCTACAGCCACTAATTTAATAAACCAGAACAATTCCTACCAACAATCTATTTTTTAAAAATTGCCCTTATACACACAGGTAAGCGTAGTCTTCACCTCTCATCAAGGAAACTTCTCTTTGTGAGAGACAGATATCACTACAGAAAATCACAACCAATCAAAATACAAGTTGTGGAGCCCAGTCCTGATGGATCCATCTACAAAGCACTCCCACACCTACGGCTCAGGGAACACTGTGGAAGTGGGAGCAGAAAGATTGTAAGACCCAGAAGAACAGGGAGTTTGCTGTGAGATTGTGTCTTCTAGAAACAGTAGATGCTATACATAAATTCTCACCAAAATGACTGCCCAGGTGTGAACTGAACAAGGATGACACCATGAGTGTACCAAAGTGATGGGGAAAAGTCCATGAGGCCTCAGCTCTACCCAAAGAACCACAGGCAACTGGGGAATGCTGGAGCAAGAGAGGTGGTTTTCCCCAGGGAAGAGCACACTGATCGGTTTTCCAGGGTCAAGTGGTCAGCCCAGAAAACATACATACAAGTAACATTATATGAACTGAACAGGTTGTATGTAAGAATATATATGTATATACTTTCACTACATATATGTGTGCAATAGAAATGATGGAAAAGAGGCCATGAATTTGAAGCAGAGTAGGGAGGAATGTATGGGAAGAAAGGGAAGAGAGAAATGTTTTAATTATATTATAATCTCAAAAAAAGACTTTAGGGAACATTTATCTGTATTGGTTACTGCTCCATTCATAGTTTCTAGTCCCTAACCTAACATATGGTACTCAATAACTGTTTCTGAGTGAATTATTAGAATTCAGAGTGATTGGATGTGAATATCTAAAAAGTTGGAAGGGTCATTACTAACAGGTGAAAGGTATGACCCTTTATTATACCTAAAAATGCTGTCTAACTTTCAGTCTGATGGCCTATGACAATTAATTTAGCTAGAAAAGAGCTGCATGTGGACTGATACTTTCACATCTCGCAGATTTGCTGCCTTTATACATCTGTGTTAATTTTCTAATTTAGATAGTTCGAAGATGCTTATATATGGCAATGCATTAGCATAAAAAAACTCTTATTTCCAAAAGAATAGGACTTTTGCTGAACCTCACAGACAAAGTTGTTAATATACCTTCAGATCACTTAAGACTTAAGACTGATATCCTACTGTGTGCTCAGCCTGGCTGTATAACCTGCTCTTAAGAGAACAATGTGACCATCAGCCTTACTTTTCTTGGATTTCTCATGTTACCAACTTTTACAACCTAAACTAAATGCATAACTGTAATTTTAAATTATGTAATTTTCCATGCCCCGGAACCAGAACAATGCATGTGCATCATTTGCTAAAAGCCACAAACATAGAGGTTTAAAGCAATCTTCTAAAATAGTCATTCCTGGATGTTGGCTGATAAACAGTGATATCAGATGGAGCCAGTGACTTCATCCTTTGTAAAACTCTGTTAAAGATTTCTGTAACCCTCGGGGGAGGACTTGTCCTGGAGGAGGTGGGAATGAGGGGTAGGCTGGGAGTAAGGGGAGGGGGCGGGAGGGGGGAGAATAGGGGAACCCATGGCTGATATGTAGAACTGAATGGTATTGTAAAATAAAATATATATATAAAACAAACAAACAAAAAAAAATTTCTGTAACCTATACCGATCGTACCCCACATGACACTTTCTGTGCTGATCAATAAAGACAGAGTGAAGTTCTGTGTTGGGGACAGACAAACAGACAGACACACAGGGGCAGATTCATAAGACAACCTTGGGGCAGGCATGGATTCAGACCGACACAGCAGAGAGAAGACATAGGGAGCATGAAGGAGAGAACTCAAATCTGGATTCATTTGGGGTTAAATGACTCCTATAGGAATACATGCTCTTATGAAAATGTTAATACAATTTTAAAGACAAGTAAAAGCTCCAAACAGGATTACCTGTGATAACTATAATATAATCAATATCATTGTGTTAGGTTTGAGATAAAATGTCATGTGTATTAAAAACATTAGTGATTAACTCTGAATCAACAAGCACACAACAGCTTCACCCAATGATGGAGAAATGGCTGAGATTATAAAATAAAAAAATGAAAAATAAAGAGTTTTACAAGGAATTAAGTCATTGACTCCGACTGACCCAGATAACAAACAGTACTACAAACATCATTGTTTACCAACCGATAACTGTGAATGTTGTTTTTTAACATTTATGGTGTATATTCATTTAAGAAGGCTTGTTCCAACTTCTGTGCTTGCTGCTTTCAGCAAATGATATTGTTCTGGATCAGGGGAATGAAAGACTATATAACAAGATTATGGCTATGCATTAACTTGGGCTGTAAAAGTTGATTGCACAGGAAATTCAAAGAAAGTAAGACTGGTTGTTACATTGTTCTCTTAAAAGAAAGTTAAACAAACAAACAAAAAAAATTACATACACCGGGCAGTGGTGGCGCATGCCTTTAACCCCAGCACTTGGAAGGCAGAGCCAGGTGGATTTCTGTGAGTTGTGAGGCCAGCCTGGTCTGCAGAGCAATATCCAAGACAGGCACCAAAACTACACAGAGAAACCCTGTCTCGAAAGAAAAAAATTACATACCCAATGCCCACACTTCTGCATATATATTGACAAAATGCTATTGATTACCATAAAGATGATAATTTTGACAGTCTCCAAACATATTTAATGATTGAACCACAGTTGGTACATTTATATGCATTGCAGGTATGGTAGAACTCTAGTAAAGAATCATCAACTACATATGTCTTATTCAAACCATACCTCACTGAGGGCTAATGACACTCATAAAGAAATCCATCACTCATACACACTAAGAATACAAATGTTCTTTTCAAATAGAGGATGCTATTTCTAAGCCTTAAAGTTGTAAAGACAAGGAACCATGTATTAACACTTAAAGGAAGAAAATAAAACAATTACTTATCTGTTGGGTTTCTTATCAGCCCACTCAATTGGTCTTATCACAATGTTACTGCCAAGTCCAGCTGTTCCAAAGTTCCACAAAGCTGCTATCCTACTTAGGAATACCCCCCATTCAAACTATCTTCTACATTAAAAAGCATGATCAGTGGTTGGGGATTTAGCTCAGTGGTACAGCACTTGCCTAGCAAGCACAAGGCCCTGGGTTCAGTCCTCAGCTCCAGGAAAAAAAAATGATCCCCTTGTTTTCCCACAATTCAACATAATTTTAGACTGTTCCCCTTCCCCACACCCAACAAGCAATTGGATCCTCTGGGCAGTCAGTGCTGGGGCTGCAGTTTTTGCTCACCACCCCTGCATTTTTCCTATCATAATAAGAAAATACCTGAGGCAACTTATGAAGAGAAAAAACATATGAAGGAAAAAAGTTTGCTCTAGCTTTGAATCAGTGGTAGGCAGTAGATCTTGTCTAGAGCGTATAGAAGAGGAAGCTACTCATATCATGAACTAGGAAGCAATAGAAAATAAAGGGGCCACGGTCCCATTCACCTTCTAGGATATATCCCCAGTGACCCAGGGTCTGCTTGTTGGGGAATATTATTTTAAGGTGTGTTACTTTTGCCTATGTTGCATTTGTTTGACTCTGTGAAGCTGTGATACTGTGCCTGTGTAAAACACCTGATGGTCTAATAAAGAACTGGCCAATAGTGAGGCAGAAGAGAGAAATAGGCAGGGCTGGCAGGCAGAGAGAAATGAATATATAGAAGGAGAAATCTGGGAGGAGAGGAGAGAGCTAGGAGCCAAAGAGAGGGGGAGGACTCCAGGGGTCAGCCACCTAGCTACACAGCACCCATAAAGAAAGAATAAGATTTATGGAAGTAAGAGAATGGGAAAAGCCCAAACGTAAGAAGTAGTCGGGATAAGTTAAGAAAAGCTGGCTAGAAACCAAGCCAAACTAAGGCCGGGCATTCATAAGTAATAATAAGCTTCCATGTGTGTGACTTATTTGGGAGCTGGGTGGCAGGTCCCCAAAAAAAGAGTAAAAACAACAAACAACATCTACTAACTAGAGTTTCCACAACTTTCTGACGGCAGTACAATGAGGACAGTTTTAGAGCAGACTGGAGCTAGTCGACATATGAACTTACCCACTACCGCAACAATGGACTCTGACGGCTCTTTTGTCTGTCCCCTACAATGTCTCCCTTCCATCTGTAATCCAATTTATCTTCGTAGATCACAAGTCAGATAGCATCTGCTCCTTTGTAAAAAGATGAAAATAGGCTTTGTTTCCCATAGCATAAAGCTTAAACACTCTAGTATTGATCGAATTATTATGCCTTCTATTTTAAGCCTATGTTTTTTTTTGGGGGGAGGGGTTGAGACAGGGTTTCTTTGTGTAGCTTTGTGCCTTTCCTGGAACTCATTCTGTAGCCCAGGCTGGCCTTGAACTCACAGAGATACTTCTGACTCTGCCTCCCGAGTGCTGGGATTAAAGGCGTGCACCACCACCACCTGGCTGTAATTTTAATAGCTTCAAATTCTTCTTCTCTCTCCCCATTACATACAAAAAAAAACAAAAACAAAAACAAAAACAAAACAGACTTTCAGCTTCCAGGTATCTTTTTATGTACTTCTCTTAAACAAAATTATAGAGAATTTAATGACAAGGACATTCAAATACTGTAGTCAATTATATGTGTAGCTCAGTTGATACATGTATAGTTATATGTTGACAATATGCCAATCAATTACTTATTACATGTTTACACACTGATTGGACATTCAAAAAGGAAATAAGCTCTATCTACCTGTGAGGAAGAAGCAAGAAAAAAATAAGAGGTGAACGTATGTTCTAAGATGTGGGCCTTTCTATTGTCCAAAACTTGAACAAATCACAAAGTGATTATAACACCCAACACACTCCTGACCACAGGAGGATGAGACAAGAAACAACAGATGAAAGGATTGAAGAAAGTGATATAAACGTCAGCGGGGAAAGTTTCTGGCTTCCCTCTGAATTCAGGGACTCAACAGAAAGTAAGCAAGTGGACAAGGTAAGGTGCTTGCTCTGTGTGTGGAGTCAGGCCATGAAGGAGAAGTGAGCACCTCAAACTTGAGACATCTACAAACTTTGCACCCTATTCACAAGGATGATGTGTGTAGAGTTGAGGAGGCATTGAATGAGTTTTAAGAAGCTAGGCGGGAATCCACAATGATGACTCCACCACAGACTACTGGCATTGGTCAAGAGGGTACGTGAACTGACCTACTCTGGTGATCAGATGGCTGAATACCCTGTCATCATAGAACCCTCATCCAGTGACTGATGGAAGCAGATGCAGAGATCCATGTCCACGTCCTAGGCGGAACTCCAGGAGTCCAATCGACGAGAGAGGAGGGATTCTATGAGCAAGAGATATTGAGACCACGATTGGAAAAAGCACAGAGACAACTGTCCAAACTAGCGGAAACACATGAACTGTGGACCAATAGCGGAGGAGCCCCCATGGAACTGGACCAGGCCCTCTGGATAAGTGAGACAGTTGTTTAGCTTGAACTGTTTGTGGTGGGGGGGGCAGGCTGTGGGACTGGGACCTGCCCCTAGTGCATGAGCAGGCTTTTTGGAACCTAGTGCCTATGGTGAGACACTTTACTCAGCCTTGGCACAGGGAGGAGGGGTTTAGACCTGCCTCGACTGAATGTGCCAGGCTCTGCTGACTCCCCATGACCTTGCCTTGGAGGAGATGGGAATGGAGGGTGATTTGGGGGAGGGCTGGGGGGTGGGAGGAGGGAGGACAGGGGAATCTGTAACTGATATGTAGGACAAATGGAAATTTTCTTAATTAAAAATAAATAAATAAATAAATTACAAAAGAAGAAGAGGAGGAGGAGAAGGAGGAGGAGGAGAAGGAGAAGAAGAAGAAGAAGAAGAAGAAGAAGAAGAAGAAGAAGAAGAAGAAGAAGAAGAAGAAGAAGAAGAAG